TAGAAGCCCCCATGGTTTAAGATTAGGGGATTATAGGAAATTAGTTTTTATTTATTTTATATTAGTGGTGAAAATGAGAAGAATATTTAAATGATTAAATTTTATTATTTTTTATTTGCCATGTCACGTATTTAACGTTCAACTATGAGAGTTGACTGCCACATCAGACAAAGTTAACGGAGTTGGACGGAGAGTGACCAAATTTGAACTTTTAAACTAATTTTAGTAACCAATAATGGAATTAAATATTTTCAGTGACCAAACGTGAACCTTTTTAGTAAACTCAGTGACCAAACTTGCAATTTACCCATGGCATTTTACTAGTTTATCCATACTTATTTTACCTAATGACTAATCTACCCTTCCTTCTTCCTCGGTGGCGGCCTCCAATTCTCCGTCCTCAGTTTTTCATATAGAGCAATGAATGATAAAGGGACTCTCATGTTTGTTTCTCCTTGTCTCTTTCTTTTTTTGGGGATTGTTTAACATTAATTTCTCGCATAAATTGTGAATTTCGGGATGAAATTTTGGATTAAGCGTGGTGCTCGAGTTTGACCAAAAAATCGGGACATTTTCAATTGTGGTTGAATTTCACATCTTTATCTGCTGAGTCTTTTATTTACTCCTCTATTGATATTTCTAATTCTCATCTTGTGCATTATTGCTGGATCGACAGTTGGATCCAAAAATTAGAGAGTTGTGTCATGTCCAAACTATTATGCATTTCTATATTTGTAATTGAGCGAGTTCACAAAGTAGAAGTTCAGTATGCATTAGATTTTTTTTAATGGAAATATAATTACATAAGGGTAACAAGTTAATTTGTGTTTCATATTCACAAATCTAATCAAATAAAATCCATTATCAAATCCAACAAGCAAACAATAGACTTGTTCAAATCCATGATGCCACCAAATTCATCATATATTCATGGTTTTTCAAAACCCAGGTTTTACCAAAACCCTCATATTTTAAATCCATGAAACAAACAACCCGCAAATGTCAGAAAAGAAGGCGAAATGAGTAAGGTTGTTGCTTCAGAATAAAAAATTAACAAGACTTAACAATATATAATAAGGACAATATAGGAATAATAAAAAGAGATTGAGGCTAGTTTTGTCATGTACTCTCATGGATTTCTAGCCTACTACATAATCCCACTTAAATGGGCAAGATTTTATAATCCGTGGACCCCACGGATTTTGGTCCCAAAATAATCCAACATGCATGGGTAGGGGTGGACAACGGGACAGGACGGGTTTTAAAACGAGTACCCAATCCCATTTGAAGAGCAATCTCCATCCCATATCCCAAACCCGCACGGGTTAACGGGTACCCGTTACCCATACGGGACGAATAACGAGTACCCATACTACCCATAAATACCCGTCCAAAATTCCATCAAATCTCTTCTTTGCATTTGTCGGTCCCATTCCTAGAAACAACAAAACCATTTCTTTTGCACACAGACTAAAATAGCAACACAAAAAAAAAACTAAGGACAGATCAGAAACAAGAATTAATTTGATGGTGAAGGTGAATGCTGCCGCCACCAACTTTCATACACAGAGTTTGGGAGATAGAGAAAGTGAGGCCTGTACATAACAAGCTGAGAAAGTAGACAATAGAAGTGCAAATAGAGAAGAGAGAATCTTGGAGTTGGTTAACTCCTAATAGTTCTCGTTCATTTGTTTTTTCTGCTGTTTCTTTTTAGCTGGTGCGTTCCTTTTTGCAATTTGGTTCGATTATGTTGAGCCTTGGCTGCTGCTTTTTTTTCTGTGATTAACTCTTTTTCGTTATCGTAATATATATATATATATATATATATATATATATATATATATATGGCAAAGGCTAGCATACACCCGACGTACCTTATACGTATGTGTTCACACTAGAAAATTAATTATTTAAATATTTAACTCTAATAATTAATATATTAGTTATTAATGATAATTAAAATTCCAACGACATCCATTAATTATTGTTGTTTAAGTTTTAGTCCCCCCTAAATATCTAGCCGAAATCTCCATTGTTGCCCCAACACCAAGAAGAAGTCGACGCATGCCATTGCCATCATAGGCTTTCCCGAGAATAACAATCATCACCAAGAAGAAGTCGACGCATGCCATTGCCATCATAGGCTTTCCCGAGAATAACAATCATCGTCGGCCACCAGCCGCCGCCGATGATCTTAACGATAAGAAAGCACAGTATGGTGATGATTGTTCATCTCGATGTTGCGGTGCAGCCACTCTCCTCGTCTTGCTCGTCCTGTTTGTGGTGGTCGCCGGAGGTGAGTTTGCGGCAGCGGCAGATAGGTATGATATCAATTAATAATGTTCAATGGGGAAACATTAAAGAATGTCAGTCAATGAGAAAACTTGACTAGTTTCACCTTCCACGACAATATAATCCCGAAGCTCCCTGCTCCCCCGCCTCTAATCGCCCAGAAAACCTTTTCCCCCTGTTGTGAGCATCCATGTAGAAAGCATCAATTGTACTTTCTAACCAGAGACCCGAACCCTTCATTGCCAAAGTGTTCGCTAACTGGCAGGGTGAGGTAGAGGTTGTCGAGAATGCTAGATGGGTACTCTGTTTCGCAATCACATAGTTTAAGCTCTCCAAGCCAGCATCACGCTTTGAACCAACGATGTCAAGAGACGATATAAGCCTTCTTGGTGAGGTACAAAATTCCTGCGTAATCGTGGGCGCAGCTGCGGACTCTTATCCGAATCCTATATTCCTTGCTGCAGAATCGCGCGGGTCGGAAGGATGAAAATGAGGATTGGCTTGGATTTGGAGTTCAAGTATCTGAGGTTTTGGACTCTCCAGCCCCGAAGGAACGAGAATAGAGAAGATTGAGGATGGATACACGACATCAATTTTGTTTAATTTCATGCTCTGTACTTCACAAATGAAAGTTTCTCTCTCTAGGTTTTAGAACTTGTTGCGTCAACTGGGAAGAAGAAGATGAATCTTGTTATGCTAAGCTTTGATCGTTCGCCTGTAATGGGCTTATTGACCCACTTTGAATAAACGTGAAGCTAAAATAGCAAAGCCCACATTATTCTTACGATGGTAAAGAACATTTGGGACTAAATTATATTGAAAACTAAATTCATAGATTTTATCGTAATTGTAATTATGATCAATTATTGATTTAATTGTAATTAATTAAAATAGTACCAAGTGTGAACACAGGCATACCGTGTACGTTATGCTAGCCTGAACCATATATATATATATATATATATATATATATATATATATATATATATTTTCACCATTATAAAAATAAAAAAATTGTAATAATTTTGGAATAAACGGGTATTAACGGGTAACCCGCGGGTACCCAAAGTAGTCATTCTTGATCCCAAATCCCATCCCATAAAAAAAATTATGGGTATTTGGGTACCCATAATCCTAAAAAAAGGGACGGGTACGGGTATACCCAAATACCCGTTTCCCGTTGCCCACCCCTATGCATGGGTCCCACAGCTCATAATCCAACATCATTTTAGTGCCAAACATGGACTTTAAGCATAATCCCATAACTGTGGGATTTTGGACCAAAATCCTTTATCAAAATCTCAACAGCAAACGACGTCGTTTGGATGGAGTATTGGTATGAGTTATTTGAGTTCAAATAACTCACAATGAGTTATTTGGACACAAATAACTCGTTTGGCAGCTTTTTTTCTTGAAATGAGTTATTTGGACAGTGAGTTTTTTACAAATAACTCATACCCATATGTTATTTCGAAATAACTCATTTTACCATTATGCTTTTATCAAAATACCACATGTCAAATACCACATTTGCATGGTTCAACAAAACGTGATACTTTATTTCAATTACCACTGAAATACCACATGAACTAGAGGCGGAACCAAGTGTAGGAGTGGGGTGTCCCGGGACACCCCTAAATTTTGGGGAAAAAATTAATCAACCCCTGATAGTAGTTTGAGTATGAAAGAAAAAAAAAAAAAGATGATAGTACTGTATGTGATTCTAATCTATAACATAGTAGTTATTACTGAACATCTTTTCTATTTGAGTACACTTCGTTTGTTGTTTTGATTTTTTCATATATTCTCAAAAATTTTAAAGTCCAAAAATAAACCCACGAACTATCCCTTGACCCTATCATTTCCAATGATCTATTTGCTCCTCAAAGTTGTGTTGATTTTAGCAATGGCAACTCCAAATATTGAGACTTGAGAGAGCATTTTCAGCTTTGAGTTACATGAAGAACAAGTTTCGGAATCGAATAGACGATCAACTCATGAATGATTGTCTAGTAAGATATATTGAAATAGATTTGTTGAGCATAGTAGACAATGAGTAACACGTTGTTGACTTTTATTGTAACTTGTATTAGTCGGATAGTTTCTTTTTTAATATTTTTTTAATTTTTAATTCACTTTTTTAGCTGGACACCCTTATATAAAATTTCTGGGTCCACCACTAACATGACAATAAATGAGTTATTTGATTCTACAAATACCAGATTGACAATTAACTCATCCTTCCGGTCATTGTACCTTAGTTCTTTTTCCCCATAGCAAGTAATATCAGAAAATGAAATTATTACCAAAGTTTGTTTTAACTTTCAGACATGATTTAAAAATGGAACTTTTTCCTGATATATTTTTTTTTCTTAATAATAAGCAATAGCTTTAATCTGAAATAATCCTTTCAATGACCAGCTAAGGCAAACAAACTAGTATATTGGGAATAACAATTACTCACATGCTTAGACTTATATTTAGCATTCCAAGTAATACAAACTCCAAACTAATTATGAAAATGCTGAGGAAATTCCTCTTACCAAAACCAAAAAAGAAAAAATGAGGACTTTTACCGTGGGGGAGACTGCAGCCAGTGTGACGAGGTAGCACCAATAAAAACCTCCCACGTGTAAATTTCAACAAGACGTACACGCTGTTAAGGAAACAATATCCAATCCAAGCAAAGGCGCCCTGCCATGTTGGTCTCGTTCTCTTCCTACTCGTCTCTCTCTCCTCCCAAGTCTCCCCTTCCCTTCCTCGCCTGCTTTAAAACCCCTTTCATATTTAACATTTCATCACACCACACTGTTCAGTCACTCCACAAATCCCCTCCCTCTACCCGCCTGTGGGGAGAAAAAAAAAAAAAAATGGCGTCAAGGTTTTCAATTTTCTTCTTCGTCTTCGCTCTCGTTCTGATCGCCGCTGTTTCGGCGGCTGAAGAGGCCCAGTCCAAGGAGTTCGTCCTCACACTTGACCACACCAATTTCACTGACGCCGTCACCAAGCACGATTTCATCGTCGTCGAGTTCTACGCTCCATGGTACGAAAAATCATTTCGAAAATTCTGCTCCTGTTAACTGATTCAGTGTTTGCTCTTTTGATTTTCTTTTGCTTCGCCATGCTAATCTGGGTAAATTCTGCCCTGGATTGTGTGGATCTCGCTGCTATGACGTTTCTGATTCGCGATTGAGCTTTTGTGTATGATTGGGCTTACTACTGTCTTTTGTCTTTAATCTTCGTTTGTGGATCGAGCAGTGTCCTTTATCTTGAAAGATACTCCTTCTTGTTTGGCTTGATCAGTCAATAGAATCGTATAGTGTTTGCGATTTGTAGTTTTGAGTCCCGTTTATTTTTTTCGCTGTCCCTGAATTGGAATTTAACTGGCGCGGGTTTCTTTGATTGCATGCAGCGGTTGAAATATTAGTGTGATACCTTTCAGTCATTTTGATTGCCAAATGCGCTTCTAAACGCTCTCATGGGATATGAAGATGTGTTTTTGCTTTGGCTTTTTTCCTTTGTGCAAAATTCTTGTCAATGGCGGTTGGTTGATTCATGGCCTGATATCGTGCGTGCATACAAATATACCAGATGCGCTATTGCTTTGCCTTTTAATCGGATTTCAGTTTGTTCTTGCCTTAATAATAATTCGATGATAATTTTGAATTCAGCAAAGAAAAGGTTCCATAATTTGACCGTTTCTTGGCCTGTTACAGGTGTGGGCACTGTAAGAATCTAGCTCCGGAGGTAATTAAAACCTTGTATTTCGTTGGTTGAGACAGTCTGGATTCACTCTAGAGAATGTGTGCAAATGCTATAAACATGGATGACTGATGGGACCGAATAATTTTTCTTGCAGTATGAGAAGGCCGCGGCGGCATTGAGCAGTCATGATCCCCCGATCGTGCTGGCGAAGGTAGATGCCAACGAGGAGGCTAACAAGGAGCTTGCCACACAGTATGAGATTCAGGGTTTTCCAACTCTGAAAATTTTGAGAAATGGAGGGAAGTCAATTCAGGAATATAAGGGTCCTCGTGAAGCTGATGGTATTATTGAGTATTTGAAGAAACAGAGTGGTCCTGCTTCAGCTGAGATTAAATCAGCAGAGGATGCCAGTACTCTTATTGATGAAACGAAGATATTTATCGTAAGTTCTGGGCTTTCTTTTCACTGTTTTGTTTTGGTTAAGTAAGGCTATGGGAAGGGAAGTGATTTTATGTTCTTTTGTTTTTCTCAGGTCGGGGTGTTCCCGAAGTTTTCTGGTCAGGAGTTTGAAAACTACATGGCTTTGGCAGAGAAGTTGCGGTCAGACTATGAATTTGGTCACACCACAAGTGCCAAATTCCTTCCTCGCGGTGAATCGTCAGTGACTGGACCGTTGGTTAGGTTGTTCAAGCCATTTGATGAACTCTTTGTTGATTCTAAGGTACTTGTCAATCTTTATGTGGCATGGAATCTATTTATAGTTGTTGCTAGTTCTTATTGGAAAAGCGGCACTTGGATGGTAGGAAGTTTATAGCTGGCCTGACATTTTTTTGTCATAAGATGGAAGAGTATCTTCGATTCCTTGGTAGAAATGGATATCTGAATTCTACATTTGATCTATTAACAGTGTGGACAAGGAACATGCCTTATTAGGGTGATCGTTTGCATGGATTCATACTTGATGCTTAATTTTTGCTTGCAGGATTTTGATTTGGAAGTTCTGGAGAAGTTTGTTGAGGAGTCTAGCATACCCACAGTGACTGTTTTCAATAACGACCCAACCTATCACCCATATGTTATCAAGTACTTTAACAGTCCCGAAACCAAGGTATGGGATCGGGATGTAGAAATCATTTTGATGTTGGCTTTATTTGCAAGATTTTCCTTGAACAATGCACTGTTACATCCTTTCATCTACTGATAACCCCTATATATTTTTGGCAGGCTATGTTGTTTGTGAACTTCACAAATGAGGTTGCTGAATCTTTCAAGTCCACGTACAGAGAAGTTGCTGAGCAATACAAGGGACAAGGTCTTATCTTTTTGATTGGAGATGTCGATTCCAGCCAAGGTGCCTTCCAGGTTCGTTACACTGTGTTGACTAGTTCATTCTTCTTTGACTTGTATTATGTTCCCTGAACACTTTAAGAACTACTGTGATACTGTTTCTGAACAGTTCTTTGGACTTAAAGAAGAACAAGCGCCTCTTCTTCTTGTACAAACGAACGACGGACAGAAGTACCTGAAGCCGACTTTGGGTGCTGATGATATTGCTCCTTGGCTCAAGGAGTACAAGGTAGCGTGGACTTGTTTCTATTTAAATATGTCAAGGCGAAACTGTCAGGAATTGGTAACCAGTACTTTATCATTTGTATTCCTCATGACCCATGTTCATTATTCATCCTCTGCAGGAAGGCAAAGTCTCACCATATAGGAAATCCGAGCCGATTCCAGAAACTAACAACGAGCCTGTGAAAGTAGTAGTTGCTGATACTCTACAGGAGCTTGTTTTCAACTCTGGGAAAAATGGTAAGTCATAAATCCTGACCAGATTTGCCTACGGAGGAAACTGGATTGTTATGAGGGTAGAGAACTGTAGCTTTTCCCCTTCCCTGTTTTATGACTTCTGAATATTCTGGGATGTCATATTCTTCACAGTTCTGCTGGAGTTCTACGCACCATGGTGCGGACACTGCAAGAAGCTGGCTCCAATTCTGGATGAAGTTGCTCTTTCCTTTGAGAAGGATCCTAGTGTGCTCATTGCAAAACTTGTAAGTAGTCATTTATCTCTTCTAATTTTGGTTAAAATTACATAACGAAAATATAGATTTGTAAAGACATTTTGAATTGTTGTTTTAGGATGCAACTGCAAACGACCTCCCAAGTGATACATTTGATGTGCAAGGATACCCTACTGTGTTCTTCCGATCAGCAAGCGGGAACTTGGTCCAGTACGAAGGAGATAGAACTAAGGAAGACATCATCGAGTTCATCGAAAAGAACAAGGATAAGCCAGCAGTTGCCCAACAACAACAGCAGGAAGAATTATCTAAGGAGGAACCAGCAAAAGATGAGCTCTAAACTAGCTTTTCTCTTGGGGGTTCTTTGTTCATTTCTTCTCTGTATCAGTTTTGGGCAAGCAAAAAACATATCATAGTCGGTAGTTTACCCTTCTTACTTTGCTGTCTTAATAATAAAAAAAATGTTAGCTAGCCTAGCCTCAATAGGTTTGTAGAAACAGAAAATGTGGCCTAACGTGAGCTCTCTGCTCTTTCCCTCACTTCCTGATCAGTTTTGTTTCCCGTGTGGCCATTTCCTATGCCTAATAGTAATTGGTGATAAATCTGCCAGCTTACACATAGGTCCAAGCATTGGAACTTTTTCTCGGAATATTAGTCACCGCTTGCCAAATTAAGGATTGGAAATTCTTCTATAATACAAAATTATATAGGAACCTCCTCCAATCTAATCGTTAATGATAGTGTACAAAACTCTATCCAACAAAATCTAATCTACCACCATTAATATTACTATAATACCACTACAAAATCTAATCTACCACCATTAATATTACTATAATACCACTACAAAGGTATTTTTCCCAATCTCCTATTTTTCTTAATCGAATCCTACCGCGTTTTAGCTCGGAATTAAAACAATTTGCATAGAAAGAACGCATTAATGAATATTTACACATGTCGATTGTTGTATTATCACTTTCATATCAATCATATCATCATGATATGACAGTGATATGATGACCCATCTCCTTTATTTCAACTCAAAATTTAAAACAAAAAGTATCGAAAGAACACATTCATTAAGATCTAAAAAGTGATACCCATTTTGTTAAGTTTTGTCAAGCATAAGACCAATTACCAAGAAAGCGTTAGGTGGTAATTAGGCGGTAAGGTACCGCCTAGCGTCTAGGGTGATTAGTCGTTGCCTAGGCGCGATTAAGCGTTAATGATGGTATGCTATGCTATGCCTAACAATCCTTTCAAGGCTATGGGGAAAGCCGCATATCATCAAAAACGGTGATTTGTGCTAATTTTGATGTCATTGGGAAGAATCTTTTTGTTTCCAGCTTTGTCGAGGAGGTTAGAGATGCTTTGAGTGAAACATGAGAGTCTCCATATGTCAAGCCTATCATTTGGGTTCTATATTGTTCATTTCATAAGCCAGTTTGATTATGAACAAGTGATTGTGGAGGTCCTTGGATGATTTGGGGGCATTATCTAACTATACACCTATGGCAGAAGGATTTTGATCAAAAGTATGTTGAGGTTGCATCAACACTGGTCTGGGATCGTCTACCAAGCCCCTATCCTGGCTTTTAAATATCTAAACCCATATCCACCCCAATACCCATGTGGGGAAGGTTTTGCAAACCCATCCTCATACCCGTTGGTTTCAGTTACCCATGGGTAATACTTGCCTCGTACACCCAAGATTATAATACCTAAAATTTTACAACTAATATTTTTAAATATAACACTAAATTCACATATTATATCATGAAGTCGACAAAGAGACAATCATTCTTAATACAGTTCAAATCATCTTATCCTAAAACATCCATTAATCCATAAGATACAGTACAATATAATCCAAATCATTATTCTCTCACTCTGATACATCTACGAAGTAATAACTAACTAACATAATCTTGTTAGCTTGAGGGAAAAGTGAAAGCATGAAGGGAGAATTGAGGAAAAGGAATTAGGTTTTGACCTCGATGACCACTCAATTACATTTCTGCTATTTATTTTATTGAGTTACCCTCACTATCATTGACGTGTTATGTTGATATGACTTGAATCGGACTATCAGCCGCTACGACTGGTAACCACGGTGTATGGGCTCAATGTTATTTGGGTTCGGGTTCTGGGCCTGGTCTGTAACCGTTTCCTTTGCTAGATTGGATTAGGTTTAGACCCACATGGAGAAGTACTATAAATACTTCTCATACTCCTCTGTAATCTGTAATCTCCTCGATATAGTGAAACTGGCTCTCTCTCGCCCGTGGACTAGCTAACACACATCGTGTTAGTGAACCACGTAAATCGTGTGTCTGTGTTCTTTCGATTCTCGCTCTCGTATTCTTGCTTTGTCGATTCCGGCGATTTCCCGATCCGTAGCAGCGCGTTTATAACAAGTGATATCAGAGCCGCGGCTGGAAATCAGGCTAGGGTTTTTCGATTCAGAAGAATGACGTCGGTGAACATGAAGATCGAAAAGTTCACGGGGAAGAACAGCTTCGCTATATGGCAGATCAAGATGCAGGCTTTATTAAAACAGCAAGGGCTGTGGGGGCCGCTGTCTGCGAAACAGAAGAAGGCAGCGGTCGATGACGATGAGTGGAATACCCTGGAGGAGAAGGCCCACTCGACCATCATGCTATCGTTGTCTGATGACGTCATCATTGAAGTCGCTGCTGAGAAGACTGCCGCGGGCTTGTGGTTGAAACTAGAGAGTCTGCACATGACTAAGTCTCTAACCAACAAGCTGCATCTCAAGCAACGGTTGTTCAGCTTGAGGATGCAAGAAGGTACGCCTTTGACGGAACATCTCGAACAGCTTAACTCTATTTTGCTGGATCTGCGTAATATAGATGTTCAAGTTGATGACGAGGATGCTGCCCTAATCCTGCTGGTTTCTTTGTCGAGTTCATATGAGAATTTCGTTGATTCTTTTATTGCTGGTAAAGAAAGCGTGTCGTTGGAGGATGTCAGGTCTGCTCTTCATACGAGAGAGATCAGGCATAAGGCGTCCGGATCTGGTACAGGTGGTGAGGCATCGGGTTTGGCTGTTACAGGTGGAAAGGGAAAGAAGAAATCTGGAAAAGGGAATTCGAACAAGAATTCCAAGGGTCCGGGTCCACAGCCAGGTGATGCCTGTCACAACTGTAAGGAAGTGGGGCATTGGAAGTACAACTGTCCCAAGAGAAGAGGGCAACAGAAGAAACAAGGTTCAGTTGCCGTGGCAGAAGTGGACAACAGTTCTGAAGACGATCTCACATTGGCTGTAGATGAGAAGGCACATCGTGGTGATGTATGGTTTCTGGATACTGCAGCCTCATACCATATGTCTCCGAACAGAGATTGCTTCACAACCTACGAGCAGATAGATGGTGGTAACGTGGTCATGGCTAATGGAGCTGTCTGCGAGGTTGTTGGAATCGGGTCCATAAAGGTTCGGACACATGATGGTTCGTTCTGTACCGTGAATGATGTCAGACATGTTCCACGAATGACAAAGAACCTGATCTCCTTGAGTCTACTCGACAGCAAGGGTTTCAGCTTCAAAGGAAAAGGTGGAGTTGTGTATGTCTGCAAAGGTTCAAGGAAGGTGCTGAAGGGCGTGAAGCGTAGGACCTTGTATGCATTACAAAGGTCTGTGTTGTCTGGTTCTGCTGCAGTTGCATCGTCTCAGGTTCAACAGGAAGATATGACCACTCTCTGGCACATGAGACTGGGGCATATGAGTGAACGGGGGATGCAAGTTCTATCGAAGAGGGATCTTCTTTGCGGGCACAAGGTGCAGAATTTGGAATTCTGTGAGCATTGTGTGTTTGGGAAGCTACATCGCAGCAAGTTTCCCAAGAAGGGTATCCACCGGACGAAGGGGATACTGGATTACCTCCACTCCGACTGTTGGGGTCCTTCACGAGTTGAATCCATTGGAGGCAGCAGGTATTTTCTGTCTATTATTGATGATTATTCGAGATTTACTTGGATTTTCATGATGAAGCAGAAAAGTGAGGCTTTCACGAAGTTCAAGCAGTGGAAGACATTGGTGGAGAATCAGACCGGGAAGAAGATCAAGAAGCTGCGAACGGACAATGGTCTGGAGTTCTGCAGTTCTGAGTTCAACGAAATCTGCAAGGATGAAGGGATTGCCCGTCATCGGACTGTTAGAGATACACCCCAGCAGAATGGCGTTGCAGAAAGGATGAACCAGACATTGTTGGAGAGAGCACGGTGCATGCTCTCTAATGCTGGACTAGAGAGAAGATTCTGGGCAGAAGCAGTGAACATGGCGTGCTTCCTGATCAACCGTGGACCTCACACAGGTATCGAGTGTAAGACTCCCTATGAAGTGTGGTATGGTAAGCCTGCTGATTACTCTTCACTGAAAGTGTTTGGGTGTCCTGTTTATTATCATGTGGATGAGGGTAAACTGAACCCAAGGGCAAAGAAGGGTGTATTTGTGGGTTACGGAGATGGAGTTAAGGGATTTCGAGTCTGGTCACCTTCTGAGCATCGAGTTATACTTAGTAGAAATGTGATATTTGATGAGAAGTCTATGTTTAACCCCATGTTGAAGGTTACTGTTGTTGAAGGTAGCAGGAATGTTGATAAACAGGTGGAGCTGCAAACTCTCAATGAGAGTGAGTTTGAGCACCAAGGTGGAGAAGATCAACATGATGAGGATGTCTCTGCAGAGCCAGAAATTTCAGAGTCCAGAGCACGAGCTCAACAGTCTATTGCTTCCGGTAGACCGAAGAGAGCGACTGCAGGAGTACCTCCACAGAGGTATGGCTTCGAGGACATGGTGGCGTATTCATTTCAGGTTGCTGAAGAAGTGGATGCAGGAGAGCCACAGTCCTATAGAGAAGCAGTTTCGGGTGGTGAAGCCGATCAGTGGCTTGCCGCAATGGGAGATGAGATGGAATCCCATGACAGGAATCAGACTTGGGAGCTAGTCAAACGACCACAGGGAAGGAAGATTGTTACAAACAAGTGGATCTACAAGAAGAAGGAAGGAATCACTTCCAAAGAGGGCATGCAATTTTAAGCTCGGGTGGTTGCACGAGGCTTCTCGCAAAGGGAAGGAGTTGATTACAATGAGATTTTCTCACCAGTGGTCAGACATACTTCAATCAGAGTGCTACTAGCAATAGTGGCACATTATGACTTGGAGCTCGAGCAGCTAGACGTGAAGAGAGCTTTCCTACATAGAGAGTTGGAGGAAGAAATTTACATGACTCAGCCAGAAGGATTCGAGGTTCCTGGAAAAGAAGACTATGTTTGTAAGCTGAAGAAGTCCTTGTATGGACTTAAGCAATCTCCGAGGCAGTGGTACAAGAGATTTGACAGTTACATGCTTGAGCTGGGCTACAACAGAAGTCCATATGATTGTTGTGTATATCACAACAAGGCAGAGGATGGTTCGATGATATATCTAGTTCTGTATGTGGATGATATGCTCATAGCTGCGAGGTCAAAGTCTGATGTCCAGAAGTTAAAGGGGCTTCTCAGTGCTGAGTTTGAGATGAAGGATTTGGGAGCTGCTCAGAAGATTTTGGGTATGGAGATTTACAGGGACAGGTCGAAGAAGAAGCTTTTCTTGTCACAGAAGAGCTACATCCAGAAGATACTGTCGAGGTTTGGCATGTCTTCAGCAAAGCCCTTAAATACTCCTAGTGCTTCAAATGTTCATCTATCCTCAGCCTATGCACCGCAGTCAGAGGCTGAGAAGGAGTACATGTCGAGAGTCCCATATGCTAGTGCAGTAGGTAGCTTGATGTACGCTATGGTATGCACTAGACCTGATCTTGCACATGCTGTTAGTGTTGTCAGCAGGTTTATGATACAACCTGGGAAGGAGCATTGGCAGGCTGTGAAGAGGATCTTCCGGTACCTTAAGGGTACACCTGATGTGGGGATTAGCTTCGGAAGTGATACAGAGTGCTTGGTGTCTGGGTATTCTGACTCGGACTATGCTGGAGATGTTGACACGAGGAGATCGATGACTGGTTATGTATTCACTCTTGGGAGTTCTGTAGTGAGCTGGAAGGCAACTTTGCAGTCGGCGGTGACATTGTCTACTACTGAGGCAGAGTATATGGCGTTGACAGAAGCTGCTAAGGAGGGAATATGGTTGAAGGGACTGGTTGGTGATCTGGGTCTACATCATGATCAGGCAGTGGTGTATTGCGACAGTTTGAGTGCAATATGCTTGGCCAAGGATCAAGTCCACCATGAGAGGACTAAGCACATCGACGTGAGGTATCATTTCTTGAGGACAGAGAAGAGGATTAAGGTGAAGAAGGTTGGCACCGCAGATAATCCTGCTGATATGTTCACGAAGTCGGTTCCACATGGCAAGTTCCAACACTGCTTGGACTTGCTGAATGTCTTGAGTGGGTGACTCCGCCCTGCGGGGCATTGATGGCGGGAGAGAGAGAAGGAGCAGAGTACATCAGAGATTTCAGAGGAAGAGAATTCAAGTCAAGGTGGAGATTTGTTGATATGACTTGAATCGGACTATCAGCCGCTACGACTGGTAACCACGGTGTATGGGCTCAATGTTATTTGGGTTCGGGTTCTGGGCCTGGTCTGTAACCGTTTCCTTTGCTAGATTGGATTAGGTTTAGACCCACATGGAGAAGTACTATAAATACTTCTCATACTCCTCTGTAATCTGTAATCTCCTCGATATAGTGAAACTGGCTCTCTCTCGCCCGTGGACTAGCTAACACACATCGTGTTAGTGAACCACGTAAATCGTGTGTCTGTGTTCTTTCGATTCTCGCTCTCGTATTCTTGCTTTGTCGATTCCGGCGATTTCCCGATCCGTAGCAGCGCGTTTATAACAGGTTACATTTTGATCCATGTATTTTTTATATGTAAAGGAATTCTCTTGATGGGGAGGGTATGAGTATGGGTATGGGGCGGGGGAGGCTAATGCCATACTTTCCCCATACCCATCAAACGTTTTGTGAGTTTTACCCGTACCGACTTAATACGGGGATTCCCCACATCGACTTGTTTCGGGGCGGTTGGATACCCGCGGTCATGGATTTGATTTTCATCCCTAATTACGAGGTTGTGGAAAGGATAGTTCAACATATTGGTCGGCTGGTGCGCATGTATTTTGCAACGTACACGGGATAATGCACTCAGTTTGCCTAGGTTTGCGTTGAAGTTGATTTAATTGAGCCTTTATTAGGTAGCTACCGCATTGAGTGTAGGAAAGACTACATATAGTGTGAAGGCTGGCATAATATTTGTACGCAATGCGGAAAATACATACATTCATGGTCGATGTTGTATCGCTCTCCGCCTATTACTACGCTTGTCGATGATGGTTTGCCACCCTAAGGCTATAGTCGAGACGTCGAGGGAGCATGAACGGGCATATGGCGATTGGATGGTAGCGAAGCCCACAGGAAAGAAGGGTAAACAGAAAAATCGCGTGCCAAGCTCTACTTCCACCATGAAACCAAAAAATAAAAGGAAAAATCAGGCTCGAGAGTTGAGGTTTTGGAGGATGAGGAGGAATGAGTTGCCATGGACATGGGTGGTAATAATTCAGGGATGCCTAGTCTCCTGGCCAGTATTCAATTGGTAAATACATGCAAGAAAGAGCAAGTTTGGGCCTCCTCATCCACGTAGGTTTTGGGCATTACCTAGGCCATTAGTACTGAGTGTGTTACCACGATGATGTCATAAGGGTTGATCGATGTCCCAATCCAAGTTATTTGAACTCAAGTTTCATTGAGTAAGGAAATTTTGAACACCCCTAATCCAAATTAACAACCATAGTGAAGGCTAAGGCCTTGCAAGCATCATACCCACATGCTAAACCTCGGTTGGGAACTGAAGCTAACACTCTCAAGAAGAAGAGGGTGTCGCAAACCCCCTTGGAAAATAAATCAAAAGTAGAGCACTCAAATCTTTATAAAGTGTGTATGAAGATTGGGGAGCATCCTACCCCCCCACATAATGAGTCATGGCAAGCTTCGGCTTGAGCTGGTCCAGGAAAGTCTCGCTCCTCTAAATTTTATTAAGTTATATATCCTTTCTTGGAACTACCAAGGGTCGGGAAATGATCGTTTTATTTTTTTCCTGTTGGATTTTGGTAGGTCGATGAGACCTGATATTGTTTTCATTTTGCAACCACATATTAGTGGAGTTACTCGTACGCGTGTTGTTTCACGTACGGGTTTTGATGGTTGTTTGATATTTTATTGTGTAAGATTTTGTGGTGGCATTGGAGTTCTTTGGCAAACTCAAAACATCAATTTTACCTCCCTGTGAAAATGGGAGCCGATGATCCACATGAGTTTGCTCTAAAAAAAGTGCACTTCACCAGGAAGTATTGGTCTCAGCGGTTTATGGGAGTCTGAATGCAGTTAAGCAAACAAATCTTGAACACAATCGGCGAATTCTAAGTTGTCCCCTTTCACCTTTTCCTAAGGCCACTATCAAAGATCCATACCAGATCTTCTTGGCCATCGGGGACCGAGTGGGAAGGCCATGATCTGCAGGGGAACGGATCACTCATTGTTCCATTGGGGACAGGTGCACCAACGACAACTCCAAACGTTACACATGCACCGCCTGCCTACCATTTAGGTGGCACCGACGAGATCTAGCTAAGGTAAAGAACTTCGTGTCGTGGCTGCTCCACTCCGCCACGGTCTCATGAAGTTCACTTCCTTGCTTTCCCACACGCGAAGCGAATGGGCCCTGTGTTGTGCGTCAGTTTTGGGGCGGGGTGCGAAAAGAGACAAGAAGAATGATTCATTTGGATCGACGGGGATCAGATCTAGTCCTTTTTCGGAAGCTTTTGGACCTAGCGAAAAAGACTTTCAGTCTTAGCACAAGCAAGCGCGCGAGAAGAAAGCAAAGTAGAAGCTTTGCCAGAAGCAAGATGAGGAAGCAGACTGGGTTTCATCAAATTTAGTGTTTTTTCTCCTTTTCCAACCTAATTTGACCCCGTCAAAGCTACTTGAACCGACTTTGTATTTTTTTTCTTTTGGTAGGGAAGACAATTGAACCCGAATCTATGATATTGACCAGTTTAGTGACCAAGTTTATCTGCTTTTGGAGTTGGCACGAGTTTGAATTTGTTAGAAACTCCGTCAAATCGAGTTGAATAAGGTTTTGCCGAGTTCTAGATCAAGAGCGAGTTTTGTTCACTTTAATGTTTTTTCTTTCCCACTTTTCTTTAGGTTGAGAATGCCAATTGAACCTAACCCTAGTGTTCAAGAGTTTTGTATTGAGAACAATTTTTATCCACTTTCTTAATTGACAATTTGTGTCAATTGTGAATTTGTTAAAACTATGTTCAACCCGGTCAAAGCAAGTTGAAATAGGTGTTGAGAGATTTGGGTCAGGAGCGAGTTTTATCTGATTTGGTGTTTTTTTTGTTTATCTTTTTCCTTTTGATTGAGAATGACAATTGAACCAAAACCTATGAGTATCCAACCTAATTCAACCTAGTCAAAGGTGTTTACAAGTTTTTAGTCGAGAGCAAGTTTTATCCGCTTTTGTAACTAGCGCATTGTGTCGGGTGCATGGTCCATGAAACCGTACCGGGCACTGTACCGGGAAAGTTAACAGTAAGATATTTTATGGTAAAATCGTGGTTTAACTATAGTTCAACCGTTACAGTGTTAAATACCGCATGCCGATTTAGCTTTTGATATTGGTATTTCGTGGTTGAACCGCAGATACGGTATGGTTTCATGGACCTTGGTCGCGTGTGAATTAGTTAAAAACTCGGTTCAACCAGGTCAAAGCGAGTTGGACCTGGTATGGACGATTTTTAAGTCGAGAGCGAAAAAGTTGTTTTGAAAACAAAAAGTTGTCATTATTAGATTTTATTCTTTTTGTAGAAAATATAATTTTCTTCCATTCACATCATTTTAAAAATAGAATAAATTAGAAAATAATATTATTTGATGTGAAAGAAATCTAACAAGATTCATTTGACTATATTTTAATTTTTAGACTTTTTTCAATATTAGAAATTATTTTTTAATTTAATAGAACTCTTATATTAAAAAGTATTTCTAATAGTTTTTCAGCCAAACGCTCAACTGTTTTTCTAAAAAAAAATTCTGAAAGATCTAGCCAAAAACTGCTTTTGCAAAAGATACAGAAGAACCAACTAGCCCTATAAACTGAAACAATAGCGTCATGGTAGAATTTTAAATATAAATTATCTGCTCGATAACCCTTCTGCCTTATGCATTATCGCTTCGTCGACCACATGTGTTGTAACTAACAAATTAATGGTGAGATGGATTAAGAATGAAATAAGATCACTTTCATTTTTGTATCAACATTAAAATTATTACTTTTTAAAATATATGTTCTTGTGCATACGCGAAACAGTAGCGGGCGGGTTTGCTAGTTGTACTATAAAATACTTCTTGGATTATTCACTTGTGTTTTTTATCTTGCCCCAAATTTTCACCCCTCCCACATTTTCACCGACTTACTTTCTTCTCGACACCCTAACATTCAAACCGTCTTTCATGAACAACACGATCGAAACCGCCGGCGAAACTCGATGCCCTTCAACCACCTCCACCTTGTAATTACAAAGCACCGCGCTCGCCACTTGCTTCGCGTGGACGAACGTGATCTTCTTCCCCAGGCAAGCCCTCGGCCCCGCCGCAAATGTCATGAACTTGTACGACGGAATGTGCACATTCTTGCTCCCGTCGGGGCTCAGCCACCGCTCCGGCCTAAACACCATCCAGTCTCCGCCCCAAATCTCCTCCATCCTCCCCATGGAGTATATCGAGAACAGAACCCTCCCGTTCTTCCTCACCGTGTGCCCGCTCGGCAGCGTCTCTGTCTCCGCCGCCGTCCGGTGCTCGAACGGCACCGGCGGGTACAGCCTCAGTGCCTCGCACACGGCGCCGTGTAAATACACCAGCTTGTTCAGCTCTTCCACACCGAAAAACCTCCACCTATTTCCCCCCAAATTCGCTTTGATTTCTTCCAGAATCTTCTTCTCCACTTCAGGGTTCGACGCCACGAGCCAGAGCAGCCAAACCAGAGTCACCGTCACGGTGTCCCTCCCAGCCGCAATCAAATTGAAGGCTGTGTCCCTCATCAGCTTGTCAGATTTCCCCAACTCTCGGATTTCTCCTCCCTCTTCTTCCCCGTCCTCCGCCGCCCTCATGAAAGCTGTTAAGAGATCGAATTCACCATGCTCTGTTTCTTTATGCTCTGTTTTTCTGTTGAAGCTCTGTCTTTTGAGTTTGACCCTTTCGTAGAGGAAGCCATCGAACTTCTCCCACGCTTCATGGAGCTTCCTCTCTTCCCCGACGCGCAGCCACCGCTGGAGTTTCCACCAGAACTCCGGCATGATGTGCCGGTAGAACACGGCCTCCTCCATGTCGTCGTACGCCTCGGCGTATGGCAGGTCTGGGAGGAGGTCGACGGTGAGATAGTTGGGGTCGAATCCGAGCACCGTTGTGCAGATGCTGTCGAACATGAACCTCTTGAACACGTCCTGCAGGTCGATCACCTCCTCCGCCGCGGCCGAGGCAGCGCGATCGAGGACGGGGAGAAGCCCCGACTCGAGCTTGCGGCGGAGGGTGGTCATGAGGACGCGTTCGAACGGAGGGGAATTGAAGAGGGAGTGAAGAATGCGGCGCTGGGAGAGGCCGAATTCGCCGTCGGAGTTGAAGATGCCTTCCCCCAGGGCTTCGAGGATGTCTTTGAACTCGGGGCCTTTAGGGAAATCGGAGTGGCGCTTGCTGAATACATGGTGGGCGTTTTGGGGGTCGCTGGTGATTAAGCAATGAGTGAATGGGATTTTGAAGACGAATGTTCCGCCGCTGAGTTTGAGGCTGCGGGTGACGAGGTCGTGCGCCTGGGAGGCGTTGCGGAGGAGGAAGATGAGCCGTTTGGCTCTGGTGTAGTTGGCGATGGAGGTAAGTAGAAGAATTGAGAGGATGGCTGAGAAGAAGAGAAGTATGATTGTCGACATTTTTTTGGCTGCAGGGGATGGAAGAAACTAGAAAGAGAACAAGGTGTCTTGATCTTTTGTTGTTACGTTTCAACTTTCAAGTAAAGATGGCACTGTTAGTAGCTGTGATATTTCGAAGTTGGTGGGTATCCGTATCTCCTTATGGCATGTAGGCCAAAGAAAAGAAGGTAATTTTGGTGGATAATTTGTTTGTGGCTTGTGTGGAAAAGGTTTAAACTTAAATTTTGGGTGGGCATGGTTGCTTTGGTCCAAAATAGTACTGAATTGGTATAGGATCAAAATGAGATATTTTTTCTTTCCAAAATGAAAATGCCTTTCTTATTAAAAACCATCTCTACCGTACCATATTTATATTATTATGTTCAAATATTAGAGTTTGGAGTGGTTCGCTTGACTCTCGAGCGAATTATAGGTGTGGTTCGTTCCAAACAAAACCGATCTAAGTTTTTCGTTGGAAATACAAGTAAACAAGATGCATCTCTTAGTAAAAGATTTGTATAATCGTAAAGAGCGAAAACGATAAAAAGAACACAGGATTTACGTGGTTCTTCTTATTTGGTGTGAATGAGCTTACTACACGGAGAAGTTGTGCTATCTCAGCTTATGATTTCATACGTACCCGATTACATGTACCTGCATGTATACCCGAAACCCTATTCATCAAGTAGCTAGGGTTCGACTATCACTAGGGAACTAGGGAAAATACATCGAAGTCCCTACTAGTGAAACGACTACGTACATAATGCATATCCTATACTACCCCACAAGCTGAGGCATGCAGATTACAAATGCCCAGCTTGGACGATAACTCATGAACACAATCACCACCGAGCCCTTTAGCAAAGAGACCAGCTGACACGCTAAAACACAACACCTAACAATGGCCAAGTGTAACCAATGAAAGGGACTGCAGTATAGTGGCACAAGTAATAAATATCGAATCCACGGGTCTCTAGAGTTACTATTACTCAGCTTCAGTTCATTATCTAGCAAACTAGATTAAGGATTGATTTACTAAACTACTCTACTAACTACTCTACTAATTACAAGTTGGGAACTCACTTAGGTATGATTCCCCCTAGCTCCTCAATTAGGTCCAAGTTGCAATTACCTTTGGTTGATCTACTGTTGATTAAACTGCGGAAGATCCTAAATTAGCTTGGAATCTCTTAAGCTGACCAAGCCCTCTCAGACAAAATACCCGGCAGGTGACTAGCCTTCACCGGGATAGACTGCTAAGGCGATTCACACATATCTCCACTACTGGAATGAATTCCAGTACAAAGCAGTGAATTGATTGACTCTCGCACAACCAATTCACCACTATCAATCAAGGAAGCTCTCTTAACCTAATCAGATTCTATCTATCATAGGTTAAAGCAGAAATCAAGAGAATTTGATCAAGATTCAATTGACTCAATAAATCATGCCTCAATCGATTATAATCAAACAATATAGCATCCAAAACTTCATACAAGAAAGATCCTAACACATGGAACTAGGGTTCCTCAAAACCTAAGTGAAGGGAAGTTACTCCATAGAGAAGAGAGAGACTGCAGAAATCTGATCTAGATCTTCAATCTCCATCTCCAAGCTTGATTCCCGAGCTCCAATGGCGAAGAAATCCTCCAAAATAGCTCCAAGAATGTTTCCAAGTCGCTCTCTCTCTCTAGGGTTCGTCCCTTGGGTGTTTGGGATCCAAAACCCAGCTCTCTCCCTCTCCTTTTGCTGAAAATCGGGTTTTAAACATCAATTCCCGACTCACACGGCCAGGCCGCACGGCCGCACGGCTTTCCCAGCTGCCCGTGTGAAGGCTCGGTGAATTCCGCACGGGCAAAAGTGCCCCTTGCACGGCCGTGCGGGTTGTGCCCGTGTGGCTTGCTCAGCCTCTGTTTAATGCTTCGTTTCTCCCTCGTCCGGACTCCGAATCAGTCGCCGTTTGATCCCAGACGCTCGTAGTCTCGTCCTATTTCTTTTCATGACAAGCTTGCATGATTCTTTGTCCATAAAGTGAGGTAGAAATCCATTCTTCTTCAGGTCATACCCGAGTTTCTTCTCCCGAATCGTCAATTGATCTCTGATTGACTTGAAACTTGCGCCTATGCTTCACTTTATGTGCTAGGACCTGAAATGTGACAAAGGAACACAACCTAGCGTAAAATAGGCCAAAGACACGATAATTCAAGCTTAAACAATCAAGAAACAAAGGGGAAAACATGTGCAAATACCGAGTCATCACCAGCCAGGTGACCTTGAGAAGAAATCTTATGTGGTGGAATCTCACCAGAAAAAACATGTTCACGCACAAAATAACAGTCAATCTCTACATGTTTTGTGCGCTAGTGAAAGACAGGATTAGCTGCAATGTGAAGAGCAGCCTGGTTGTCACAGTGGAGTACCGTAGGACCATGAGAAGAAAACACCCAAATCGCCTAGGAGTGCACGAAGCCAAAGGACTTCACTAATGGTACTAGCCATAGCCCGATATTCCGCTTCGGTAGAGGAACAAGCCACGACTGATTGCTTCTTCGTCCGCTAAGAAATGAGGTTCGCACCAAGAGTAACAAAATAGCCCGACGTTAATCGCCGCGTCGTCTGACACTCACCCCAATTAGCATCACAGTAAGCTGTCAACTGCAAGTTCCCAAACGAGGGAAGAAGAATGCCTTGGCCAGGAGAGACTTAAGATATCGCAAGACGCGCTCAGCACCCGCGACATGGGCAGTGGTCGGCGCATGAACATAGCGACTGAGTATGTTCACTACGTAGACAGTCCGGATGCGTAACGGTTAGGTACTGTAGATGACCAACAAACCGACGGTAAGAGGCAGCTTCATCAGCCAAAACAAGGATAGAATCTGCATCTGGCAGCCGTGTGAGCTGGTGGTGCTATTCAATAGGAAAACAATTGGACGTCCACCAGACAACCCACAGTCACTAAGAAGATCTTTAGTGTACTTGAGTTGACAGAGAGTAATGCCACTGCGAGATCGGGCTACTTCGATCCCTAAGTACTTGAGAGGGCCCAAATTTCTTATGTCGAACTGATCATGTAAGGTATCCGTTTTGTGCCTGAATAAAACGTACATCACCCCTGCAAGAATGATGTCATCTACGTAGATCAAGGCAGCAACATAGGAGGTACCATGACGACGAACGAACAACGAATAGTTAGCCCAGAATCTCTGGAAACCAAGTCCCAAAAGTGTGGAAGTAAACTTGGCATACCAGTTCCGTGAGCCTGTTTTAGCCCGAAAAAAGGACTTGTGGAGACGACATACGCGAGAATCCCCAGGACCCGCAAAACCAGGAGGAACCTGCATATACACCTCCTCCTGCAACTCACCATTAAGAAACACATTGTCAACGTCAAGTTGATGAACCACCCAACCTCAAACTGCCGCAACTACAAGGAGGCGGCGAACACTGACTAGCTTCGCGATGGGGCCTAAAGTATCATGATAGTCTATCCCTTCAATTTGGGTGAAACCTTTAGCGACCAGATGAGCTTTGTAACGCTCAATGCTTCCATAAGGATGATACTTTATTTTATATACCCATTTACATGTGATAACTTTCTTACCATGAGACAAGGCAACCAGAGACCAAGTATCGTTAGCAAAGAGGGCGTCTATTTCATGCTGCATGGCATGGCACCATTCCTGATGATGGGCCGCATCCCAAAAATGAGTAGGCTCCGAGAGCTTGGAGACAGTCGCGAGAAAGCTATGGTGTTGCTGTGAAAAACTTCTCATAGGGTAAGGAATGCTGGAAGGAGGCAGTTGGATATCATAACTCGCGAACTTTTGAGGCACCTCATAATGACACAGACTGAGATGAGGAATGGGTGCGTCATGGACAGCCTCAGGAGGTCGAGAGGAAGAGGAGCTCTCATTCCCGTCGAGAAGAGGACCAGAAGAACGAAGGGGAGAGAATTTATCATCCCCATCGTGATTAGAGACAAGCGAGCTAAGGGTAGAGGAGTTTTCATCCCCTTGCGAGCGGAGAGGAAGCGGCAAAGTTGGAGAGTCAGCCATAAAAGCGTCGTCATAGTCAACATTCGAGGTAACTACAGGAGAAATAGTGCGGGTAGGAGCGTTGGTGTCATGGAACTGAAACTAATCCTCCACAAAAACCACATCATACGAAGTGTAGAAAGAATTTGTGGTCAGGTCGATTAGGAGGTACCCCTAGTGAAATGCCAGATAACCCATATAAACCAAATGTCGACCACGTTCACCAAACTTAGAATGACCATATGCGAGACAACCAAAGACTCGAAGATGACCATAAGATGGAAGTTTATGGAGGAGAACTTCATACGGGGTGCGATTGTGAAGAAATTTTGAAGGGAGGCGGTGAGTACACATTCACCCCCAATACCGAAGAGGAATATTTGCTCGAAAGCTCAAGGCTCAAACTGTTTCCAAGAGGTGACGGTGCTTCCTCTCGACAACGCCATTCTTTTGAGATGTGCCAGTGCACGATGTGCGAAGCAGGATGCCACGTTCGTCATAGTAAGCTCGCAAGCCTGGAGTTTGAAACTCGAGCCCATTGTCAGCTTGTATGAGAGCAACTTGCTCACCAAACCGAGTATCCGCCATAATAATAAACATCTTCAGGTACCCTTCCACATCAGATTTATAATGCATAAGATAAATCCAAGTCGCTCTACTGACTATAGTAAGGAAATATCGAGCTGTATTCTGAGTAGAAACCTTGAAACTGTCCCAAATATCCAATAATCACAAGACTCAAGCTTGCATTTATTCTAAACTGAATGAAACAAAACAAAAGCTTTATTCTCTGATGGATGACCTAGTTGAGAATGCTAGAGCTCCCCCATATCCTTCTTGCTGCCTGCGGCCAAAGCTTGAGATCCCGTAACCCCGAACAACTGAAGATAGTACAAGCCATCACGAAGTTGTCCCATCCCAATCATCTTCTTGGAACGTAAGTCTTGGATGGCGCAAAAATCGTGCAAAAATATTAAGGCGACA